GATTAATCGTAACGATTTTTCCAGCTATTCGATTAAATATTTATCGATTTTTCAATTATTCGAGCGCATAACCGACATCCCTTCATGTTTCTACTCGTTTGATTTAGAGCAGTAGAGAAAATAAATAAAAGTACTAATTTATCTGAACAGGCATAGATAAGAACCATGGCATGAAACATGATCATAAATTCGCCGAATTAAGTGTTAAGCGTCTTTCTGCTGAAGGCTCAGATTCAACAACTTGTTGAGAGAAGGTGTTTAACGAGAAAAACTAAAAAGGGGAGGAGCTTTAGCTGTCTAACAGTAGACGGGCCGAGACACTTGCGAGTGCCCAATAATTGAACCGAAGAATATGGGATTGTCCGGTCCGATTTGTTGATGCAGCGTCAGCATTATCTTCGAAAGGCTTTAAGTCTGTACTACCATCGGCTCTTTTCAGGGCCACCAAGATTTTCAAAAGAGTTAAATTTCTGACCATGTCCCAACTAAAATTCATATCAAAAGGTTCTTTTCAGGGCAATCATAGCCATACTAGAGAGTATAAGAGTATACACAGAGAGAACCCCGTTCAAATTCCTATTCCTATACAAAACACAAGCTCCTGCTGCAGTTAACAAATAACAATTATTATATAAGACCACGTAGTCCTACGTGAACATTGCGTAAAACCCCATAGGGCTGTCCCTAGTTGTTTTTAAAAGATACAGTTGAGAGAAACATTTTTTTTTTTCGATTTATAGGTGCCATGTGCTTGCCGTATTATTGCACTAACGAAAATCCGTGGTATTGGTATTGGTGAAACCATTTGCGGTGATGACGACTCTGTAACTCTTTACTCCTATGGGAAAATCCCACAAGCAAACGTGCCTGAAAAATAGCGGCTTTTTCATATTCGATCACTCATGTGTGACAGCCTCTGCTGGTTAATCTCTGCCGGAATCTGCCTATGATTTTCAAGGGTCTCATAATTACTTCACTCTCCCTCACCAGGGCACCCAGGACACCGAAGGAGTCAGTTATCTTTCCGGAATTGTGAATTGGACACCTCTACCAGTAGCAGGGGTCATACTCAATTGCCTCTGCCTGTGGAGCCCTGCCGGGGTCCACCGTTAATCACCATGGCGAATCGCTTCGCAGATCAGCCACATTGCGAAGCGATGAATCAACACCTTCATACGCCATTTCCAACGCTGACGAATACGACGGTGGCAAGCAGAAGTTGGGGGAAATACTCTGCAGAAAGTGGACCCTTCGTCAGGGTCTTCTTCCAGGGTGCATCACGTAGGCGCTACAAGACCAGTCCACAAAGCGACAAATAATGCTCAGACATCAACTCCGAGGATGAAGTCCATTCCCATCGAACGCCAGTTATCGCCAGTCGGGACCAGCACTTCGGATCCAAAAGACAAGCATGAGTACCGCCAAAATCTTACTACCCGGTTCATCTTTTGCAACCAATAGAACGTGAACGGTTACCTCAACAATCTCAGCAATCTGAAAATCCTCGTGCGAGACCACTCTCCTGTTATTCTGGTCATTCAAGAGATTCATCGTGCTAACACTGAAAGAATGGATCGAACTCTCGCTGGACAATACTGCTGGGTTTTTAGGGAATAATCACAACGCAAGACACGGTACCACAATAGGAATAAAAGCTCCACTTTCTTTTCCCATCGTCCTGCTATCCACGGAGCAGCCTGTTGCTGCGGTCAAGCTAGAACACCGACCGCGATCACAGTTGTTTCTACCTATACTCCTTGCCAGTCACGTCCCAAGCAGTTTTGAAAGTTTTTCAACGAACAACGTAATGAAACTGGTCTTCCGTCGTCTATGATACATAATGGTAACGTGGCCTTATCTACGCAAGATATCTGTCAGCTGTTCTCTGAAAAGTTTGCTAGTATCTTCACGGACGAGAGACTGAGTGACGACCATGCCCGACTAGCGGACAGCTACGTACCACTCTCTGGCCAAACCATGAGCAGAATTGATATCAATCCCGAGATGTTTTCCTGGGCTTCCTCGAAACTCAAGCCGTCGTACAATCCGGATCCTGACGGAATTCCAACGGCGTTCCTCAAAACGCACTTGGACAGTTTGTTGTCTCCACTGCTGCACTTTTTCAACGGTCCGTGGACGTCGGCGTTTTCTCATCCTGTTGGAAGCTAGTGTTCATGTTTCCAGTACACAAGAAGGGAAACAACAAGACGTTGGCAACTTCTTCGCTCAGCACTGTTGCCAAATTGTTCGAACTCGTTGTTATGGAACTGTTACTCGCTCACTGTTAGCCGTATATTAGTATCGACCAGAATGGTTTCATGACTCGTCACTCCACTGCCACTAACTTGCTGTGCCGTACTTCCTACATCTTTAACAGTATGTCGGATCGTGCTCAGACGGATGCCATTTTTACTGACTTATCTGCTGCCTTCGATAAATTGAATCACCGCATATCAATCGCTAAACTGGACAGACTCGGTATCCACGGCTGCCTTTAGCAATGGTTTCAGTCGTACCTCACCAATCGCTATCTTACTGTTGTCACGTCCGGCATACCTCAGGGTAGTCACCTAGGACGGTTGATTTTCCTTCAACGACGTGAATCTGGATCTTACGCATATGACCTTAAACTTTTCCTTCGAATTCACTCAATTGAAGACTACTTCAACGTCAGTCGAATGCTTTTGGTGATTGGTGTATTCTGAATCGTATGGAGGTTAACCCGTCCAAATGCTCGGTTATCTCTTTTTCGCGCAAGAAAGAGACTATTATGTTCAAGTATGGTCTGTTAGGCACTGAGATTGAGCGCGTCAGCCAAATTAAGGACCTAGGTGCGGTTCTGGATACACTAGTCTCTTTCAAGCAGCACATCTCGTATGCCGTCGACAAAGCTTTCTGAATTATAGGTTTTATCTTCAGGATTGCCAAAGACTTCACCGATATCTACTGCCTTAAATCGTTGTACTGCTCCTTGTCTCGCTCCATATTAGAATACTGCTCGGTTGTCTGGACTCCTCACTACAACAACGGTGTCGAAAGAGTTGAGTCTGTTCAGCGACGGTTCCTGAGATATGCGCTACGTAAACTGCCGTGGACGGGTCCCTTCCGATTGCCTAGCTACGAAAGTCGTTTGCAACTGATCCATCTGGAGCCCCTGTCGGTCCGAAGAGATACAGCAAGGGCATTTCTAATTGCGGATGTTTTGTAAGGATGCACCAATTGCCCTGCTCTCCTTGAGCAAGTAGACATCAATGTTCAACCCCGAGCCCTACGGAATAATGCAATGTTGTGTCTGCCCATACAGCGAACTACCTAAGCAACGCGCATGTTCTATAACAATTTATATAACCTTTGTACAACTGAATTTGGTTGTAAAGAAGTTTACTCAACAATATTGCATAGTGAAGCATGTTAGTTTGAATTTATACGACACTGGAATAGAACAACACATACATGCGTTCCACGATTAAAAATTAAAGCTAGAATAAGTTAATTAAGCATAACTGTTATACACAAAAACACCTCTGATAATTTGAACATCCCAACACCTACACTATAACATTGATAACATTGATAACTACAGATAACACATATAGAAAAGAAGTACATAGACCACATGCAAGTATAGGAAACGAAACGAACCATGCAATACAAAACAACAGATAATAAACAACAGGCCAGTTAGTAGCCAACAGATCGTCAGGCAATAAAGACTTTGAAATAGAAGTTTCTAGTACTGGTGCTATTTTCCGAGCCACTGTGTTTCTCCAACCCACGAACACGGAGTGTACAACATTTTGGTGCCGTGACCAGGATTCGTGGTTGGAGAAGGCCATTGCGTTCCGCGGTGTATTGTTTGGAGGAAGAATAGGCCGGATAGAGGACATCTTTGTGGCAACGGATCTGCTGTTGTCAGGTTCATCAACGGCTGGAGAACTCACTCTCTCTCTCCAACGCCAACGACGGACGAATACAGCCATCGTACACGTACAGTGTCACGCGACAACCAGAGGGACTGCTGCAGTTGGAAATTTAATACAAGGCCCGCATCCCTCAGGCCACAGGTGAGTGGCTTTCCAACTATCTCTCGCAATCTCGCTGGTGCTTTTGAGGTTTGTTTTGCTTCCATGTTCTCTGGATACAACTGCTGCTGGTGACGTCGCACGGCTCGGTATCAACACATTGTGCAAGTCGTACGCCTGGAAGGGATCCTGAGGCACACCAATTGCATTGTAAGCTGTGTTCGTTCATCAACTAGCGGCTGTGGAAATCCAATTCGACAGCAGAAGAGCCGATTTGGAGTTTGGATTTAAAAATTCAAGGCCTATTGTTGACAGGCCTCAGGTGAGTGCCTGTCCAATTAATTTAAATCTTTTTGGTGGGTACTATTTTTATATCGTACTATTTTGACCCTTTCTCGATACGCGTGATCGTTGGCTACGATTGGAGGATCTGCACACCTGAGACGTAAGGTTACCACGACGAGACGATTTGGTTTGGGCTTGGACGTACTTGGAGCAGAAGTGGATCGAGTTCAACTGCTGGACGACGTGACGTCATAGGCGTACGGTTACGGAAGTATACTGGTACATCTGGGTGGTTAGAGGAAGAGACGCTTGAATCTACGGACAACCGAGGTTAGTGGTATCGAACCAAAACTATTTGCTGGGGAGCTGATTGCATTGGAGGCGATTTTTGGAAAATTACAAGGCCTGTTGTTGACAGGTACAAGGTTAGTACCTGTCCAACCAATTTATATCCTAAAGCCAGTGCTATTTTGGATTTTCTTTCCCTTTTTTGGATTTTTGCTGAGCTGTTGGAGTTTTCCACATTGGAAGATAATCTGCTGCAACGCAGTCTGCATTGCTGGTTGCACATTTCGGCCTTTCTTGGATAAGCCTCAATTCGAAGTACGACGACGATTATTTCACGGTCTGCTACTGCACGAGTGTTGGCGTAAACTGAAATTATTTGAATACAAGGCCTAGTTGGTAGTGGGAATGACTGAGAAAAAAATTAAGGAAAAGGTCAAAAGGCGTGAGCGGATCGTCGCTTCAGTAAAACGCCATGCTTCATTTCTGGGAAGTTTCAATCCAGATAGTCAAACGGGGGAAGTTCAGTCGAGGCTGGACAAAATTGAGGCAAAATTCGAGGAATTCGAGGAAGTTCAGGAGGAGATTGCTGAGATGGATGCGGAAGGAGCGTATGAAGAGGACTGCAACAAAGCCTATGATGATTTTGAGAAGCTGTACTATCGTCTACGAGCAGCGTTGCTAGCGAAACTGCCACGAGAAGATCCAGCTCCTGATTTAAACAACTCAACTGCAAGGAATGGCCAAGCTGTAGGGACGCACACTGGGGTGCGTCTACCACAAATCTCGCTACCGGAGTTCGATGGCGACTTCAAAGGATGGCTGTCGTTTAAATCTACATACGTTTCGCTGATCCACGAGTCCGGAGAACTTAGCGACGTCCAGAAGTTTCACTACCTCAAGTCGGCGCTCAAGGGGGAAGTGGCTAAGCTCATCGAGTCGCTTACACTCACCAACGAAAACTATCCCATCGCTTGGGATACGATCACGAAGCGGTACTCCAATGAGTATCTTCTTAAGAAGAGGCATCTGCAGGCGCTTATGGAGTACCCAAGGGTAGAAAAGGAGTCGTCATCTGCTATTCATGCTCTGGTTGATGAATTTGATCAGCGTTTGAAGATCCTGAAACAGTTAGGAGAGAAGACTGAACATTGGGGTGCAATGATCGTGCACTGGATGTGTTCGAAACTGGATACGAAGACGCTTCAGCTATGGGAGGACCATGCAGCATCAACAAACGATCCGACTTATACAATTCTGGTGAACTTTCTGGAGAAGCGGACAAGGGTGTTGGAGGCGGTATCATCAAACGTCGAGGTGAAGGGCAGTTCGCATAAGGTGGAAGTTAGGCGTCAAAAGGTGGTCGTTCATTCCGCAACCGATAGTGATAGGAGTAGTTCAGCATGCTGCTGTTGCGGTGATTCACATTTCTTGGGCCGGTGTGGCAAGTTTACGAAGATGACCTTGAAGGAGAAATTGCAGTTCGTTAACGGCAAAAGGTTGTGTAGCAATTGCCTAAAGTCAGGGCATTGGGTACGTGACTGCAATTCAAAATTCAGCTGTCGAGACTGCGGGAAAAAGCATAATTCACTGATCCATCCAGGATTTCCTCTGAGCAGTAGCGGTGCCGGAAACAGCGATCAATCGGGATGCAAATCGGAGCGCAAGCGGAACGATAAGGCGGTAGCGACGAACCTAGCGACCAACGAGGATGAATCTGAAGAAGAAGGAGACAGCGACGATCAAGAAGCGGTTGGAACATACAGCGTAGGGACTAAGGGCGGTAGAGTCTCGAGCGTAATGCTGTCTACTGTTGTACTTGTCATACGGGACCAGCACGGAGGAAAACAGTTGGCGCGAGCATTGCTCGACAACGGATCGCAAGCGAACATCATGAGCGAGCGGTTATGTCAGATGCTCAGCCTAAACCGGCGCAAAATAAACTTACCGATTAGCGGGATCGGTCATTCGGAAACGCGAGCGAGATTCCAGGTGAAAACCACAGTTAGCTCCAGAGTTCAAGACTTCTCCGTGGGGATGGAATTTCTAGTTCTGCAGAAGGTTACGTCGGAATTGCCATCGGCACACATACCTGTGGCGTACTGGAAGATTCCTAATGATATTCAGCTGGCTGATCCGAACTTCAATATAAGCAATCGGATCGATCTCTTGATAGGAGCAGAGCACTTCTATCGTTTCCTGTTCGAGAGAGATATGAAACAGATCAAGTTGGGACCAGGGCTGCCAATGCTGGTCAACTCAGTATTCGGTTGGATCGTCACGGGGAAGGTTTCGGAAGCTCCGAGTAAGGCAGTAAGCTGTTGCTTAGCGGCAACTCCGGATAACTTGGAAGTACAGTTGCAGAAGTTTTGGGAGATCGAGAGTAATGAAGAACGAGCGGCTTGGTCAAAGGAGGAACAGGACAGCGAAGATCATTTCTTGAGAACATTCAGCCGTACGGAGGAAGGTCGGTACGTCGTACGTCTACCTAAACACGTGAATTTCGAGCAGATGTTGGGCGACTCTCGCGCAATGGCGCTAACGCGATTCAAGAGATTGGAAAAGCAACTGGAGAGGAATCCGGAGATGCGGTTGCAGTACAATGCATTCATGCAAGAATATTTGGATCTTGGGCATATGAGAGAAGTCAGTGGAGATGAAATTCAGAAGGAGGCAGCGGCAACGAGTGCGAAGAGGGTGTACTACTTGCCACACCATGCAGTGCTTAAGGAATCAAGCACCACTACAAAAGTACGCGTCGTCTTCGATGGTTCGGCCAGCACGGACAGTGGTTATTCCTTGAATGATGCGCTACTGAAAGGCCCTCTAATTCAAGACGAACTCCTCAGCCTTCTTCTACGTTTCCGGAAGTATGAAGTAGCACTTGTTGGCGACGTAGAGAAGATGTACCGACAAGTATGGCTACACGTTGAAGATACCTTGTTGCAACGCATATTCTACCGATTTTCTCCAGATGAACCTATTAAAGTTTTTGAGTTATCAACGATAACTTATGGATTGACACCTTCGTCATTCTTAGCGATTCGTGCTCTACATCAACTTGCGGCAGATGAAGGAGAGGAATACCCGGAAGCTGCCAATGCTGTAGTGAAGGATTTTTATGTGGACGATTACATCGGTGGAGCATCCAGCGTAGACGAGGCCATCCAGCTTCAAAAGGACCTTGATACGCTAATGAAGAAGGGTGGATTTCCTTTACGCAAATGGTGTTCCAATCGGCCGGAAGTTCTGACTGGCATCGCGGCCGACCAACTTGGGACAAATTTATCTATTTCATTCGAAATAAGTCCAGAGGAACAGGTGAAAACCTTGGGAATCACCTGGGAGCCTGGAACGGACCAATTACGATTCTACTATGACATCACAGCAAGCAAGCAAGCGTGGACGAGAAGACGCATCCTGTCGTCTATAGCCAAACTATTTGATCCGCTGGGACTGATATCACCGGTGATTGTTGTGGCAAAAATGCTGATGCAAGAGCTCGCTCTGCTCAACTCAGGATGGGATACGCCTGTTCCGGTCGACATCGAAAGGAAATGGAAAGCATTCCACTCACAGTTGGGCAAAATATCGGAACTACGAATCAGTCGATTTGCTTTCGTTTCCAATTGGGTGGATATTCAGTTTCACTGCTTCGCTGACGCTTCTACTCTTGCCTACGGTGCGTGTTTATACGTACGGACGACGGATGAAGCAGGAAACGTTCGAATCGAGCTGCTTTCTTCAAAATCACGCGTTGCTCCACTCAAAAGATTGACCTTACCAAGACTTGAACTTTGTGCCGCCAAGGAAGCTGCACTACTACACTCGAAGGTGGTTAAGGCTCTCTCCTTGGGAAATGTACGTTCGGTTTTCTGGTCGGACAGTACGATTGTGTTACATTGGCTACGAACTCCTCCTAACACATTACATACGTTCGTGGCTAACAGAGTGTCGACGATTCAAACCTCCACTTACACACATTCTTGGCGGTATATAGCGGGAAAGGAGAACCCTGCTGACTTGGTTTCTCGCGGAATGGCTATTGATGATTTTCTACATAGCCAGCTATGGAAACAAGGACCCCCATGGTTGAGTAGCAACGAAGATGCGTGGCCCAATTCTTTAGAGGACTACAGCATCCCCGAAAAACTGTTGGAAACTCGCAAGGCTGTTCACAAGGTCACAGTCACGGAACCACCCAACGAGCTGTTCAGCTTGCGTTCTTCATTACCTCCTCTACTTCGAATCGTCGCTTACTGTCGTCGTTTTGCCTACAACTGTCGCAACTCAACTGATAGAAAAAGCTCGACCACTCTCGCACCTGATGAAATACAATCAGCGAAGATGACGCTGACCCGTATCGCACAGGCTGAACAATTCCCAGACGAACTCAAAGCTCTACAACAACAGAAACGAGTCGACTGCAAGTCTAGCCTCAAGAGACTATTCCCCTTTCTCGACAATAGCGGAGTCATCAGAGTTGGGGGACGGCTACGTTTCTCAAATGAAGGTTATACGGTCAAGCATCCTGCTGTTTTGCCAAGTCATCACCCATTAACGAATCTCGTTATAAACTTCTTCCACTACCAGAATTTCCATAGCGGTCCACAATTTACATTGTCCGAAGTACGCCAAGAGTTTTGGCCCATACATGGTAAGCGTATTGTCAACACCGTGCTTCGGCAATGCGTTCGCTGTTTCCGCACCAATCCAACGCCTATCCAGCAGCCCATGGGACAGCTACCTGCCGGTCGCGTACGCCCGGGACGACCGTTTCAGATAACTGGCGTTGATTATTGTGGGCCGTTCTATCTTAAGCCAACCCGCCGAAATGCAGCTCCCCCGAAAGTGTATATTGCAGTCTTTGTTTGCTTTTCGACAAAAGCAATGCACCTCGAGCTGGCTAGCGACTTATCTACCGCTAGTTTTCTCTCAGTATTGCGAAGGTTCATCGGCTACCGTGGAAGACCTGTTGAAATACATTCGGACAATGCCAAAAACTTCTCAGGGGCCTGTAACGAACTAAAAGCGCTGTACGAACTGCTGAATAACCAGATTAGCTCTACCGTCATCAGTAAGGAACTTTCTCAGCAAGGAATTGAATGGAAGTTCATTCCACCACGCGCTCCTAACTTTGGAGGACTATGGGAGGCCGCGGTACGCTCCGTGAAAACTGCGCTGAAGAAGGAGATCGGCCTCCAACAGTTAAGCTACGACAACTTCGCCACGCTTCTAGTTCAAATCACCGCCGCACTGAATTCACGACCTTTATCTCCTCTATCTGACGACCCCACTGAATTTGAAGCGCTAACCCCGGCGCATTTTTTGATAGGCTCAGCCATGACAGCCCTTCCTGACCCCAACGTAATGTCAATTCCCACAAACCGCCTTGACCACTACCAGCAAATCCAGCAAATGTTTCAGCGCTACTGGCAGCGATGGAGCAAGCAGTACCTCACGCAGCTACAGGTGACAACGAAGAACCTGCCGATCAACCCCATCCAAATCGGAGGAATCGTCGTGCTACGAGAGGATAACCTGCCACCACTTTGTTGGCCACTGGCGAGGATCATCAGCTCACACCCAGGCTCAGACGGAATCGTGCGAGTAGTGACGGTGAAGACGGCGACTGGTGTGTATAAGCGGGCAGTCAATCGCATCTGTCCATTACCCAATGATGATGTAGATCGACGAACTACGAGGTCTTCAGGGCTGCCAGCAATCTCGAGCTCTTAGAAATAAGCATTTGATGAACGATTGAATTGAAAAATGAATTTTGAAGCTAGTTCAAGGGGGCCGGTAATGAAGCATGTTAGTTTGAATTTATACGACACTGGAATAGAACAACACATACATGCGTTCCACGATTAAAAATTAAAGCTAGAATAAGTTAATTAAGCATAACTGTTATACACAAAAACACCTCTGATAATTTGAACATCCCAACACCTACACTATAACATTGATAACATTGATAACTACAGATAACACATATAGAAAAGAAGTACATAGACCACATGCAAGTATAGGAAACGAAACGAACCATGCAATACAAAACAACAGATAATAAACAACAGGCCAGTTAGTAGCCAACAGATCGTCAGGCAATAAAGACTTTGAAATAGAAGTTTCTAGTACTGGTGCTATTTTCCGAGCCACTGTGTTTCTCCAACCCACGAACACGGAGTGTACAACACATAGAGTTGTGTTACTTGGGTAATTACAGGTATACCTGCTAACTTCCATCGTCGATTTCCCGCGAATCAGCATTCAAACAAGTAAAGTAATACCACCATCGGACAGATGGGATAATTTCCCATTTAGTAGTGATATTAATTTGTATGATTCAATTGTTATTAGCGAGATATTGACGATGGAAGTCAAAAGTGACAGTTACGTTATATCGAGGTATACCTGTATAGCATGTTCAGCGCACTCTCCGCACTGTTTGACTTTGACCTGATTCACCAGCTGCTTCGCAAGAGGTTTAGTTCGTTTTTTTAAGACCAGTTTAGTTTGTCTAATAATGTTCCTTTTTTTACGAGATGACTATCTATGTGCTTATTGAGGTTTAGTTTTAGTACTTATCATGTTTAGTTTAGTTTACATCATTTGGGCCAATGACGCCTGTTCATGTTTAGTCATAAATAAATTGCAATGATCCCTGGTCTATCAGGTTAGCTAACTGAACTATTTTCATCCCTGGATGGTCCGGTACTCTTCCTGAGGGATGTCAACGGTCACCAAATAATCGTCGGGGCATCGAGGTGTTGGAGGCCGTTGAAGCTGCCGATCTAACCCCTCTTAACGATGGGTCCATAACCTTTACAAGTTGACAGAGGAAAGCAGCTATCGACGTTTCCCTAGCGGGCGCAGACATCGTACACCGCTTTCTTTGGAACGCTAAGGAAGATCCGATGGTTCGTGTCCATGGCTATGCATTTTCGAAACAAAGAAAAGAAAATGAAGTCTCCTCCGAATCGCTTCATTTCGAGCAATATCATTTTCGTGTAAGTCATTGTGTTTCAACATGACTTGACTATCGCTTTTTTCGTTCTTCAAGTGCTTCAGTTCATTTCATTTGAAGCAAAGACTTGTTTCAATTGACGCAATCAATGACTCGAAAACTGCTTCCTTCGTTTTTTCCACTTTCATTTCAATTCGGGCTCATTCGACTTGTCACGCGTCGCGTAGTCAAGCATCAAAATATATTATCCGCACAATATCGGTTGCCGATAAGGATGGCATCCGGATTATATGTAGTAATAATATATTATTTTATGTTAAACGAAAATTAAATTCACGAAGCCATTCTGGAGCCCAAGATGGTGGCCATCGGGGTCAGGGATAGCCTCAAATACCCTACCTTATGGGTATTTTCGGAACGGGGACGACGCGAAGGTGCCAAAAATCGATATCCGACACCATTTTGGAATCCAAAATGGCGGCCATCGGGTCTCAGAATGTGTCAAATACCCTACAATAAGATATTTTCGAAACGGGGATGACACGTAGATGCTGGAAATCGATACCCGACGCCATTTTGGAATTCAAAATACGGGTACTTTTGGGTATGTTGGAATCCAATATTGCAGCCATCAAGATTCATAAACGTGTCAAATACCCTAAGATATGGGTATTTTTGGAACGGGGACAACGCGTGGATGCCGAAAATCGATATCCGACGCTATGTTGAACTCCAATATGGCGGCCATCGGGTTTCAGAAAAAGTGCCAAATACCCTACGATATGGTTATTCTCGGAACGGGGACAACGCGTTGATGCCAAAAATCGGTATCAGATTCTATTTTGGAATGCAATATGGTGGCCATCAGAGTTCAGAAAGCGTCAAATACCCTACAATATGGGTATTTTCGGAACGGGGACAACCTGTACATGCCAAGAATCTATAT